GGTAAGGACTCGAGGGGGTATACGCCATGCCTTGGTGGACACGGGCTGTACGCAGACCCTCGTGCACCAAAGCTTGGTTCGCCCCGGGGCATTGCTGGAGGCGGAATGGGTGGAGGTGAAGTGTGTTCATGGTGATGTTCACAGGTATCCCATAGTGCCGCTGTTATTAAAGTTTAGGGGCAAAACGCATAGAGTAACGGCTGCGGTTAGCCCGCGCCTGTCGCATCCCCTAATTCTGGGCACGAATTGGCCGGGGTTTCATCGTCTATTAGGGCAGTATGCGGGGATGCGATCACGACCGCTAGTAGCGTGTAGTGTCTGCGCGGCGCTCAGCGGTGACGCGGGGTCGTCCGACACTGACTCCGGGGAGGGGGAGACGGCGGGTCCTTCACGGGAGGCCCCACCAGCTCCGGAAATTACCCCCACGGGCGACTTCCCACTGGAGCAGTCTCGTGATGACACCCTACGCTCAGCCTTTGACCAAGTGATTGAGATTGATGGTCACGTGGTGCGCCCTGAAGCCGTGCGGACCTACCCGCGCTTCATTTTATTACAAGATAGGTTATATCGAGTGAGTCGTGACACTCGCACGGAGGAGACACACACCCAGTTGTTGGTGCCGCGGGGCCGCCGGGAAACGATTTTCCAGGCGGCTCATTATAACCCCATGGCAGGGCATATGGGATACGAAAAAACTCTGGAGCGCATAACGGCCCGATTTTATTGGCCGGGCATCCGAGCGGATGTGCGCCGCTGGTGCGCGTCCTGCCCGGACAGCCAACTTGTTAATCTGCCGGCCATACCAAAAGCGCCTTTGCGCCCGCTCCCACTCATAGAGGTCCCGTTTGAGCGCATTGGCATGGACCTCATCGGGCCGTTTCATCGGAGTGCACGCGGCTACCGCTTTGTATTAGTCCTGGTGGATTATGCAACGCGGTACCCGGAAGCAGTCCCGCTGCGCAACATCTCTGCAAAGAGCGTGGCGCAGGCACTGTTTCAGGTCATCTCCCGAGTCGGAATCCCGAAAGAGATACTGACTGACCAGGGCACGTCGTTCATGTCTCGCACACTGCGGGAACTGTACGAATTACTGGGCATTAAATC